AAAGGACTTGTATCGCCAAAGTTCTTCGGAAAGAATTTTTACGGAAAATTAACAAACGAACAAAGACGTAACAGTATTCTAGTTTCATTACCAATTGCTGAGCTTACATCAAGGATGTAGAATTATTTGGCTTCAACCTGATCATCATATCCTTGTCTGTTATAGCGTTTATAAATAATTCACATTTCAACAAATCTATCATTTCACGAGAAGCATTCAGGTAAGATAATTGGGCAAGTTTTTCCAAATCTTCTGGAAGCTTGGCTAAAGCTTTCTTTCCTCCGCATCCTGTTCTGGAACTTTGCTTTAGATATTACTTTCAGATTCAACACTCCAAACCTGTTGGATAAGGCAGCTACTGATGCTTGATAGTTGTTATAGTTATCAACTTAATGTTGTCAAATACGGTCCATGGTATGAATCCCACGGTATCTTCCCATTATAGTCTATTGGTTTCATGATTGGCCAACTAAATTTTCGAACTGAATTTGGCAGTGCCACGGATGGGGTAATACAGGAAGATCATGGTAATAGGTGTAGACCAAATAAGTTCTTTGATTCCATATCTTGTAGTAGATGGTGTTTTAGGTTGGAACTCCTGATGCAGAAAGAGGTGTTTAATCTTTGTATTTAGTAATTAATTTTTCAGGTGTTATATTCTGTCACTGATGTTGTTGTTTTTTCTACCTTGTCTTTCTTTACTTCACTTTTGACGTTATTAATTGAAGTGAGGAAAGATTTTAAAGATTAAGTTGCACTACAGCAAAGCTGTAATGACAAAAGATTGATGATTAGCGAGTGCAGTGTAAGACAGGTATTTAAGAAATGGGTTAAAAGAGACCTACTATTTAAATAACAATTAAAATCAAAAATCAATCCGAGACGTACAGAGAGATTACAGCAATAAGATTTCCTCACTTCAGTCTTATTGCTGTAATCTCTCTGTACATCTCGGATTGATTTTTTATTTTAATTCTTCTTTAAATAGTAGGTCTCTTTTAACCCATTTCTTAAATACCTGTCTTACACTGCACTCCTTTATCCTTCTGAAGAAGAACAAGTCAACTATTCGAAAGCGCTCGAATAAAAAAAAGGTATTGTTACGTCTCCGTTTGTTAATTAACTTTCCGTAACTTCGTTCCAACGAAACTTAAGCGACACAAGTTCTTTCTTAATAAAACTGGTTTATTATTTCCGAATATAACTTTACCAATACACTCAACTTCAACAATCGCGCTAAACAACGCTGTAACGTCTCTCGTGCTCTCTAACTGCAGTTCAATTACTCACTGTCTACCCAGACATTACATTCCCCTCTTTTATATACCAGCCTACCCTATATCTAGTAAGAACTAGAACATTCGCCAAAGTATATGATAGTTCTAGAAACGTTGCGTCACAGTAGTCATGTGACTCGATGACGCAACAGTATATTTATACGCCTTCTGCACCATTGATGTACAGTAAACAGGTTACTATACAAGTCTTTATAGACTTTTCTTCTCTGTAGCTTATGGATCTTCCTAAATGTGGGAGAAAGTTGGGCCACGTCCTATTAAATCAACATTTTCCTTGTTCCATTACGCACTAAATAGGGGTGGTAGTATAATCATTACACGATTCACTCGCTCCACCCTCCTTTAAGTTAACGAGTAATGTATATAAGTATACTTCATCACGTTTTATAGTTCTGACATAAAGGGAAAGAGAGGGATGTAACAGTGAATTACACAAGGGTTATATTGTTTGTTTGTTTGTTTTTTGG